AAAAAAAAGAATCCGAAGTGTTATTCACGCATAGCAAACTTCTCACAGGAAGGAGGAACGCCCGGCTTAGCCGGGCGAACCCATAAGGAGGGAAGCCCGGCGTTAGCCGGGCGGCCCGACTGGTAGTGACAATAATAATGACAATAAAAATGAGTTATTTTTGTAAACGTGTTAGCATCTCCTATGTTCACGAGGCAATTTTTGGTAAGACTGCCTAGTTAGAAGCAAAACTTTCTTCGATCCGGCCTTAAGCCGTACTTATTTTCCTAGCACTCTGCTCTTTATCCTTTACACTACCAATAATATTAAGAGGGATAATCGTAAGAAACTTCTAGCTTCCCACTAGATTCGATTTCTGACTCCCTCCTACCTGCGGGAACCTACTGCCTTCTTGTTATAAAAAATTGATGATGCGAGTAATGTTGCATATACTACACATCTGAGAGGATGTGACAACTTCACGGAACCATCTATTCGGTCCAGTACAAAGGAAGACAAGAAAAGTACTCGAGAGACTACAAGACCTGTGAAGAATCGTCCAGTTAGGCATTGTCCACGCTAAACCGCGTCCGACTTCACACGATGCCTGACTGGGCACTCACACTCAGTAGTCCCGCCGGCTTGACATCGTATGTCGAAAGGAATGTTACGTGGTAGTCGATCGGCTACTGCTCTGTCCCTTTCATCATTTGATCAGTTCCGGTTTTCGTCGTCATGGTAGAAACTCTCCGCGCACCGCCTGTACCATCGTTATTCCTTTCTATTCTTAACCCACATTCTTACTTGTGCCTAACATTCTACGTCTATCGCCCATCCCCACTTGTCGTTTTACGTGTGGGACATCTGCGAATTGAAGGGAGCATCATTGTCGTGGAACAGTACGTGGATCACCATGTGCCAGAGAAGGGTGAAGCTTCAGGTGACTCGAATGACGTGGCCTGAAGCAGGGGTTGCGCCCACATTCCAGGTAGTTAAGAATATCACATATAATAGTGTTCCTAAAGCAATGGATGAGCATAGTAAATTTTATTGCGTTAATTATACCGTCAATGTGTAGAAGTCGCCCAAGTGTTTAGAATTCCATCTCTGGGCGCATGGAGTCTGCCAGTGGCACACACTCTAGCAGATGGTAGCCAGCGAAGTGTGATCCGCACGTTTCTTGTTGGCATTGCTGGTGAAGAGATCTTCAGTATATATTCGTAAGTTGACTCTTTTACGAGAACGAACATCATTTTCGAACAACACTGCTTCATTTGTAGCATTGTTTTATTCATCATTTCTTGCGCTCATCTCTCGCGCTTTGGCTTAACCATTTTACAAGCAGAAAATTCCAGCCTCTATTTCGTTTACTCTCTCAATATGAGAGCAAACATCCTTTCTAGGAATTTATATCGTGAAAAGAGGAGTTTTGCCATTGCCACCGTGACTGCCAAAAAGCCAGTTTTCTACATCCACGGTACTTTTCATAGCAATACCATCACTGTTGACCGTAACCATTGTAGGGAGAGAAGCCTTCGGCTGGGATGTTCGGACAGTCTAATGCCACCATCGAAGTGGACACACTGTACAAGTACTACTAGACCGAGTGACTCATGGATGCAGGCGTTTTGCCTCCACACTGTTCTACCTAGACTTCTTTCATCTCGAACTCGAACATTTCTGCGAGCACTTCATCTCGCGTGGTTACCCTTTCTGTTTCTTCTGCACTCATACAGGATTGCATGCGGCCCACTATGTACTTAGAAAGGTGTCTTCCCGAGCCAACTAAGTCTGAAACTTCGTCAGAACAAAGAGGGGCTCTCGCTCCAACCGGCTAAGATGGCGTGCCTTCGATTCTGAATGCGTAATGTATGAAAGCCATCAGGAATTGTGGCAGCTATACTCCTTTACTGGAGAACCATTTACAGATGACTCTTTTGATAGTCAGAAATCTCATCTCCATCGAAGGCTGTCTGTTTGGCTCTCATTCTACGCTCCCGCATATTGCCGATGGTTCTGGCAGGCAAACTTTTGGGTGTGAAACTGTTACTGTATTAAATCGTTCTCCACCAGGGAGGGCTGAAAGTTCCCCCAGTCACAGAAATACACATCCCTAAAACGGTTGTTCACTCTCCTCAAAGGCACTGTTCACGATGATTTCGTGGTACACTTTTTGAGGGGAAAAGAGATAGTATTAGTTGCGGTAAGTGCATCGGTGGTAAAGGAAGTGAGAAAAGCTCCAATGTTCTGAAACTGACCCACAACTAGTCGCTAGGAAATCCCATGAAATGCATAAACTATCCCGCTGATGACATCTCAGGTAGTGCTCGTGCTTGGAACAAACAATTGTGACAAATAGTCAATCTTTATCTTTCCACGTTTCGTTACAATGAGCCTTTGGACTATTGCCCAAGTTTGGTTGAAGACAAGCAGACGAATCTTCCGTAACCATGTGAAGAATACTCCCAGAAAAGAAGTTGGAAAGAGGAACGTAAACGGTAATTCTTTGCTGAAAACCACCTAACAATGAAAGAGATTTTCTGATTCCAATTGGCTAATTTACTTGATAAGGACAAAGATGTTGTAGTGGCAAGTAGCGACATATCGCGCACGCATGGTGCAGGGATCGGATTCTGAATTGTTATCCGTCCGATCGGACCAAGTTTTCCTTTTCTTCTGGGATCGGCTAATTGGTACTAGACTAATCTGGGAGGATGAAGAACTGGCTTTTTTGAAACTGGCCATCGCGGCAATATGTATGTAGGCGACATACGCATTCGAAACACCGCTATCCAATTCTAAATGGAAATAGGATGAGGGTGGAGATGTGCAGGGGGAAGGGGAGGGGACTCTCATTCTCAATCTACATGGTGAAAATTTTCAAACTTTTCTGCGTGTGTGGTGAAGCCGATTAACGGCTTCCTCAATTAATTAGACCATTGATTAATGTCTTTATTGAACTGCGTCTGTAATGAGAATATCCTTTTTCATAAACCATTTTTCGCTTTCCTTTTAAGACTTTGCAGAACTCATCTTCTAGTTTGTAGACATGCATTTTCCGGCAATTAAGTTGTAGAAATAATGGTTGCCAATAGCTATAGTTTATTGTATGCCTCAGTTATGTATCACGTATAATATTTACTCATCAGTGAAGTTGAGTGTAGAGTTTTTGGTGTCAATCAATCCCGTTTGAGGGATGCGTCCCCGCATTCGACTTCCATTCAGAATCGTAGTGGCGCATTGAATGCGTATGTGGCTTGTATAATGACTTGCGGTGGCCAGATGATGTCCGAANTCTCGGAAGACGAGCCTGGTTGGCCTAGGCGCATATAGATCCGGGATTTGATCCTCCAACCAAGCACGTGTGATAGTGCGCTTCTTGCCTCTACACTAACTCCGCCATATCCCTCAAAGTACCAAATAAAACTGACGAGTGCTCCATTTAACAATCAGGCAGGTCACAAGACAACAATTAACATTAACTTTTGAGTATAGTCTACCATTTATCGTGGGTGAATTTGGAACCCAATTTGGGAGATGGCGTTTGTCAGCATGCCCTCTGTATTAAAAGAGGATGAGCTTTTTTTGGTCTGTATATCATCTATGTAAAAAAGCGATGCTTGACGGGTAAATAGCGTGACAATTATTTGGCCGCAGTGAGCGGTGAGGGTGGGTCGAATTGAAATGAGCAGGCATAAAATTGGAATGCAACGGAGGCGTTCGTAATTGTGCTACTCGAAAAATTGGGTTGAAAGGTATTGGGCTAATTTTCAAGGTGCTGCTCTCTTGAAATAGCCACCCTTTCGCCATTTCTACAGATAGTTAAAAAATCGGCAAGTTTGGGAAGGGAATCACGGATATGAGAAAATTTTTCCTCGACGAGGAGAGGCTAGCGACATTAATTCTTGAAAAGCCTTTTTGTACTGAGCTCGTAACATCCGCCCATCTTCTTTACGCTATCCTTCTGGCCCCAACCAGTCTGACTTACAAGTCTTCGAAAAATCCTGCATTCTGCTTTGAGGGGCTCGGCTCAAATTATTTGTGAGTCCTCACTATAGCTTTTCCGAACTTTGATTTTCTATGTGGCGAAACTTCATTATCAAAAGAAATGGACTTTAAGTAAATGTCTGAAATAATTTGTTGTTAGAGTCAGTCAAATCAAGAGAAGAGTAGTCGATATTACCTAATTTCATGCTTCATATTTCATACTTGGTACGGCTAATGTTTTGGTAGCCCTTAATGAATCTTGCTCGATTGAACAGTGTCATCCTTCTTTGGGCGTGGTTGTCCGAATGGCCATTCCAAATATGTTTCTTACTGACGTGGACCCGTACTTTCTCAAGGAAATTGTTGTAAGGTGTGCAGCATATTGGGTGACCAAAATATTCCTTCTTTTTCAATTTGTCACGGAAAAGTAAGGTCAACAGATTATGGAACATTCTTCTTGATGATGAAAAGGTCCCTTTCTATCATAAACTGGATTGAAGTCATTTTCACTGCTCATTCAAATCGAAATGCTCGTATTGGACTGTGCAGCCGCTTGAGCGCGTTTTGAACAGAATGTCAGGGTGATTAATGACATGGATTCCCCGTGGGACTTGACGGCATGGGGCTGTAAGATGAAAGAAGCATTCGGGAAGATAAGGTACGAATGGCTGCATTTTGTTGGCTGACATAAACCGCAGCCACTGCCCGCTTTAGATTTTATGAATGGGAAGAACTAGATGACGCTTCGAGATTTCCAAAGTGGATACGTAATTGAAGTGCATGACGTTGAACCACGAGAGAGCGATTCCATCTAGAAGCCTCAAGAATCAGCTAAGTGGTAGTGAGCTCATGTGGAGGCAGCTCCCAAGAACTCGTGTGGAGGCAGCTCCCAAGTACGCAACCAGGTAAGTGTCCGAGCAGAGCAGCCAGATAAGTGTCCATGTATGAGCGGAATGACGTTGCCAGCAGTGTCGGCGTCCAACGATGGAGAGGCGTGGCCATGGCGTGCGGCGGACGCGCGCGGCTCTCGATCCCCGTCTGCCAGAGTCTGCCATGGAGGGTCTGGAAAGCGGTGGTTTGGCTGCTGACCCTTTGTTGAGTGCGGCCCTCTCATCCCCTCTTGGCTCATCCCGAGAGGATCTATTTCTGCATGATTTCGCCAGATCAAGTCCACACGCTGGTACATTGTTCGGGTAAGTGGTCATTTATTTCGTTTTCCCAGTTTTTTATTCTCTATTTCGTAAGCTATTCATCTACTCCTCGTCCTGGAAGCGTTACGAGCCCTTCTTTTCTGTTCTACTCTTCTGGATACGCCACATTTTTTGACGGCTTTAAGTCTACAGTGCTTCGGCAGGGATAGGTTTCCATTAGCAACATCCGTTGCGATCGTTTGATCGTTTGCAGTTCATAGCAGGTGATGACTAGGAAACGCCTATGACGATCGTTCACTAGCAACCATACGAATCCTACCAACCTTGTGGAAATGGGATGGGATGGCTCGCGCATTCCTATTCGGCCCCTACGGGTGTGCGACACTCCTTGAAAAACTCGAGGTACCTGGCTTGTCCATCCATAGTTCTGATTGCTGGGGTGCGCCATAGGCTTTGATAAATATTAACTTTTTTGATCTGCCACTGTGTTACCTTCAATGAATCCTTCCCGTCGGTATGGAGAAGCTAGGAGTCCCCACAGGCAGACAGCTGCCAATACAGGTTGAAGAACTGCCTGAAGCACTTAGCCGTCGAACTTTCAGCAACTACGCGACGTTAACTACGTTGCAACCACTCCCGCCAATCTCGACTGTCACCTCTAATGGCGATAAGTTCAGCCGAACTTCATCACCAACGAGGGAACGCCAATCAAAGTTCGTTACCGGCTCGCCTTTTACATTTCAGATTTTTTTCCGACGATGTTCTAATACTTCGTTTTTTCAGCTATTTCTTTCCTCCGTCCAGTCAATCCTTTAACTATAATGTGAACATCAAATACGAGTACGATTTGAAAAGCGAAGATGATTCGAATGGTTCACCAACTGGTGAGGCTTGATGTATCCTGTGGAGGACATTTCCTAGTTCATGGAAACAGATGAACAATGAAAAAAGCTGTCATTCTGCATGATTTAGGGCAACCACCCTCTTCAACGCCATCCGAATATTCGTCATCGCACGTATCACAACCTACAGACAACAGTTTCTCTTCTTCAAATTTTGTTCCGGCTTACTCTGGTCTTGAAATCAGGTGGGCAATTTTCACTTTCAACCATTTTCGAACTCATTGGTAAGTATGAATTTCAGGTCTCCCAAATTAGAAAAGGAGAGCTTTTTCAATGGTTTCACGAATGGTGACTGTGATGCTGATGATGATGTAAAGTGCTACCATTNTGATAATGCCTAGCCATCATATTGACAGGAATTTCATTTAGTCCGCATGTATGACGAAAAACTGCTCGCCATTAGCCAACGGTCATGGCAGTCCAGAAGGGGAAGAAGAAGACGATGGCGAAGAACTCAATACAAAAGTCTCATTTTCTGTCACAGTTCCGCAAGAGTCCTCGAAAAAGTTTTTTTCGCATTCAGGACCTGGCACAAAGGATATCGGCCGAGCTGAAGCGATACTCCATCCCTCAAGCTATTTTTGCTCAGAAAATTCTCTGTCGGTACGTATCTTTTACCGTGCATGTCCTCCCTGCCTTTTCCTGAGTTTCTTTTCTTTCAATAATCTTGCCGCAAGGCTAGCTGTGAGCCATAACATGATTATACAGTGGTGAGTGTGCCAGTTGGCGGGCGCTGATTGCGCTGTGGCGTAGAGCCAAAGTCGATTTGCTTTCGATCATCGTCTCCAGCAATTCGGAATAAAAGATTTTCAACAACGTAGCAGGGAGATTTCCATTCTGTCTCCCGATTCCCATCATTCCTTTTTTTCAGGTCCCAAGGAACGTTGTCGGACTTATTGCGCAATCCGAAGCCATGGTCAAAGCTGAAGAGTGGCCGGGAGACGTTTCGAAGGATGGCCAAATGGTTGCAGGAGCCTGAATTCAAACGCATGTCCGACCTTAGAATGGCAGGTTCGTAGAATTTGCTCATTCGCGTTGTTCCCTCTCATGGTGCCCGCTCATACCCCCTCTTGCCTCTCTGTTTACGGCGAATCTGTCATCGTTCGCCACGCTACCTAATCTCTTGGGCATCCACCAGCTGCCTTTCTTAGTATCGCGGATGGAACTGCCTTTCTACATTTAGACGCTCGTTTCGGAAATTCTCTTAACCAATAATATGGGCTGAGCTCCAACGTTTTGTTCTTATGAAGCAACTCATGCGCGATTCGCTCTATTCACTCACCCGAAGACTATTCACGTGAGTATCTATGAGAGTGGGCAGAACCTTGGAAACGTGGGGGAATTCTAAAGCCCAGTTAAAATAACTATGCGTATAGATTAAATAAAATTGTTGTTGTTATGGAAATCAATAGATAACTGATGGTAATGAGCAGCCAGCTGTACTCGACAGATGGTGTGCCATGTAGGGAGAGGGGTGAGGTCATTGGAGTATGCAAAAGACACATGTGAGCCATTGGTCTTGACCGTCAAAGAATCGTCTCAAACACACCTGGTCAATACCAAAGGGAAGGGGAGTGGAAGGGAAAGAGGAAAGTTCTGCAGAGTCTTTTTTCTTGGCACATTTTATGCAGTCTACTGCTGTCTCTCTGAATTGCTGCTATCAATTAGCCTTGTCCTTAATCCTGTGGAGTGTGAAGCTGTCGCTTGAATTTGTAGCAAGCCGACTTTTACTTATTCACTCTTCAGCGCCTACAAGTGTATTCAGTTTCGTAATGGACTTTCAGTGTAGCCGTCAGATTTCCACCTTCAATGACCTATGCCTTGAATAGTGGTTCACTCTCTACGCTAACTTGCCGACGAGAGACAAGGGAGCCAGGGGGAAGAGGGGAGTGAGGGCGGCGTTTCTCATCTTTCTCGCGTTACAGTATGCCTCATGCGCCAATCGGAAATCGATGTGCTTGAGGGGTACGGGTGAGAGAACATGGATTGTGAGTAGAGAAGAAAGATACAGGGGAGAACCCCCCGAGGGCGGCTGGGACTACTCGGCTGCTAACTGCCAGCTTTCCAGGGACCTACACAGGACAACCATATTAGTACAGTTGAATGCGGCTGAAATGATGGCGAAGGCACGCTCTCGGAGTTGCAAAATGCTTAAAAAACAGTTGAAGCCTAGCAAAACACACAGGAAAGAGCACCAAATCGAAGTCGTCTGGCGTCAGCCCTGGAATCGATACATTAGCGGCTGCTTATTTCAATAGCAAATTAAGCGGTGAAACATCAGAAGCAGTGACGACATGGCGTGGTTTTCTAACGCGGACGACGCTCGTATTCGGTCATGTCTTAGCTGTCGTTGCCCGTTTCCGAGCATGTAAAGCTTTTGGATCCTTTTCACATTTTTCTTATCACCAGCTATTCTGTCTGGGATAAATGGGTTCAGGCGGTGATGCATGTTTCATAGTGTTTTTGGCTTCCACGATGTCTTTGGCGACCTCCTCTTGGCGCCATGTAATGCGATCCTCGGCCCTGTTCCAACATCCATTTGCAGCGCTACTGCCAGCTGTCTCTCTCCTGTCCCGACTCTGTACTCCTTTCGGAACAGTGTGGGAGACACTGATCCTCGATAGTCGGAGGTTCAGGAAATGAAGGTTGAATCGAGGAAAAAGTCATGAGAGAAGAGAATGGGACCAGCAAGCAGTCATGCGTGACTGTGCTCACAATAGGTCCCTCGACTGAACTCTCGACCTCCATCTGTTCACTCATTGGCCCTCTCTCTGCATATGCACCCTCACCCGTCCATTGTGGCGGAGAGCTCAACACCAATTTTTGGCATAGCATGTGCTTTCCTCTCAAGTCGTCATCCTTCGCTCGGCTAAAAACCATGGCACAAACTGCCCCTCCTGAATGGATTTATGGAGGGTGAAATCAGAGGGCTGCACGAGAAAAAGGCAGCTTCTGGTATTTTATCAACTCGCTGACTCGTTGCGTCGAATTGAACTTCACTTTGATCACTAACTTTAACTTCACTCATAGGAAGGGGTGAGCTGATAATTGGGAGTGTAAAAATGAAGAAATGCTGATTGGGAGCAAAAATAAGGACTTACTATGAAATATGCTAAACTTCCACTTCAACGTAGGTCCCATCACTCTCAGTAGCTTGGAAACTGAATGGGAGTGGTGCGAGCGTGAAATCCGATCCCTTTCATCTGGGAATCTGGGACACCATTTTTTCTCACTTGTTCGTCGATGAATCAAAACTCATAGACCCTTTTTGCTCTTGAAAATTTGAGGCGGCGGAGTTGGTTTCTTGGACGAAATCAATTGTTGAATCAGGTACGGATGGATTCATCAGATTATCTGTTTGCTGTTGTTACCAAGGCGATAGATTGGGTGTCGAAAAAGGCGTTCATTGATGAATCGTAGTGAAACCATTCGTGCACGCGATCGTTTCGAGCTTGAACTCCGAAACTACTCAATGCTGAGCGCCAACAATCAAGCCGCCCCAACCATGGCCGCGTCACAGCGGCCGTCTGCTAATTGCTTTGGTGATGAATATATTCACAGCTCATCCTGGCTTTCCTAACTGTTCTGCCAAGCCATCAGCTAGGCAATCAATCGTTGTCGCCGATTGAGTTTCCGAGAACGGAATTCGTGTTGAAATTCGGTCGAATGTGGTCGACCTGATCACAAAGAAGTTTAAAAGCCCCGTAAATTACATGATGCTCCGGACGAGTACATTGCCTTCTCTTCTGAAGTACTACCTCTCTTAGCCTTGTTCTAGGACATGATTCCTTTGCTGCAAAAGGCTAAAGGAAAAGTAGTCGAGAAGTTGAAAATTAACTGAGTTCGTACAAAAAGGAAACCTTATTAGCGGAGGTAGTTCATCAGTATTAACTCTGCGCTAATGAAAGATATTGTGCTTTTATTCCCTCAGACACGTTTGATAAAGATTAGCCGATCCCGGAGGTATGGTTGGCCTTATTGGCTGAACCGAATATCGATACGGAGTTCGATCAGTATCGAAGGAATTATGAGATTTTTTGGAATCTATGCACCTCGTTCCTCGTGAAGACCACGTAAAAGTCATTTATATGGAATGCCTTTGCAGTTATTTTCGTTTTTCGCTGCACTTTACATTATCTCCAGGAAGTTAGTCGTAACGAAAACAACACCCATTTGGGTTCAACGGGACCATGCCGCAATTATAGGCCGTTAATTGCTTCATGACAGCATGACTGGAAGGAAAGAAAATATCGGTTGGCCATGCGAATATGCGTTCAAGTTAGGTTCAGCCCGTTCTGAAGAGAAATCCGATGCATAGTGCATTCCGCAACAAAATCAGTCATCGCCAATATTTTTGTGATACGACTAGGGACGTTACCCAGATACGCATGGCTGAGATTCCTGGTTCTGGGGTTGAGGTTTTTGGAAAATCATCTTTGTCGAGAAAGACGACACTCCAGTGCCTTGAATCGGCAGCAGGGAGATTTTAGACCAGAAACGAAGGAAGGTCGATCATTAAGCGGTTTAGGAGCTCCTATTGCTGATTACCATCTCGTACCAGGTCTCCCCTGATCCAATTCATTGTCCTGGGAGACGAAGACTTGCATGTAACATTCATTTTTCTCGAAAAGGGCGTAACCCTGAAACAATGAAGAACCACCTCGTTACCTTTTCAAAAGAAGAGATAGAATAGGAACACATTCCCGTGTGGTCGACACGAGCTCAATTGCTTCACATGGAATGATTGGCTTTAATCTTTTTATGCAATACGGTCGCTAGCAACGCTCTTTTTTTCCAATCTTCTTCAAATTATAATAATTGTATGTGTATAAATTTTCAAGAAGCGGATTTAAAGAGCTCCTTCAAGAGGTCGGTGAGGAGAGGGATCGTTCTAGGAGCGATGCCATACATATTTGACTTTGAATGGGAAGATTGAATAGCTTGATGCTTTTAGCACCAATACCCATAAAAGTGGTAACATCGCTCTCAAATTGTCACAACCAATTATGTTCCGGCAGGTCATTTTCTGCTTTCCAGCGATTTCAAAAGAACCTTGCCCTTAATTATCTGCACCTCTACCCAGCGGAATTTGTGAAGTAATCAAAATACTGGATTAGATTTCCAGGCTTTCCAACGATATTTCTGAAAAACCCTCCTCTCTGTTTGTCAATTTATTTACTTTTCACAAATCAGCCACATTGTTCCAGCTTGCAAACGAAAAGAAGAGCAACAAGTACAGCATAATCAACCTCAGCCTCCTAAGAAGCCTCGCCTGGTGTTCACTGACATTCAACGGAGAACATTGCAGGTTGGTGCCTTTGAATTGGTCTGGCCGCTTAGTGAATTCACTAGTGATAGATTGAAGTTGTTTTTTATGCTACCGTATTTTCTTAGTTCTCGGATTTGCAGAGTTTTAGCAAGGACGCTTTTCTGAGAGCAAATATTTCCAAGAGCGAATAACTCGTCCTACAGTACCTCTTCTCTTTCCTTGTAGTACCATGCATTTTAAAATCTCTTTATTTTACGTAGTGTGACCACGCAATTGCAATCACTCAAAAACGTTCCACTCCAGCTGTATTGGGCAGCTGCACCAGTTGTAGCTGCACGAACCTCATTTTTTCTTGAATAGCATTTCCGTCAAGTTACAGTTTCGGAAGTCTACTTGATTTTGAGTGAGAGGAGTTGATATCGGTCCAGTTCTTGTTGAACCTAGAGCACATGAGTATGACATTCTAGACGTATTTTCTTTGAAACAACTTTTGCTGCTCTGATGCTCCTTAACCTACCACTTCCTCCTCCCTATAGACCGGTGTGGGTGTGACACTGCTGAGTTATGGGAATGCTTTGAAAAGCATTAGTTTGAGATTGACTTTTGCCTGCTCGTGTTGAAAATTCTATTTCCATTTCTTAGCATCATTGGGATGATACTTAGTAGAGATCATCAGGTACAGATCTCGAACATTTCTCCCGCCACAACTCGGAATAGCCACCTACTGGTCTATGTAGTAAACGGCGATTTTCCCCAAGCCAAGAGAGGTCAGACAAAGAAGTCTGGCGTGAAAGAATAAAAGTCTTCTGACGCTAAACATTTCCGTCTGAAAGACGCCAGAAGACTTTCCAACAGAACCGTAGTGGGGTAATGCATGCGTATGTACGCTATTCAATGGATTGAGGGGTGCCAGCCGATGTACAAGTCAGTGCTTTGATCCTCCCAAACGAGCATGGTACCAATTTACCGACCCCGGTGGGATGGAAGGTTTGGTTGCCCTAGGTGAACAACGATTCGGGATTCAAACCCGTGACCATGCATGTGAGGTATGCGCCACTTGCCACTAAACCGCCTCCGGCATAAATTGTAAATAAATTCTCACTTCCCTAGTACTATATAGAGACGGAAAAGATTCTTCTGTTCAAAGAGATATGATGCAAATTTAGAGCGGGCCCTTGCTTCTAACAGTGGCGGCATAACCCTACTTCTGAATATATGCGATTACGGATGTGGGTAGTGCGTTAGTTGCAGGTAGCGTCGTAACTGGGAATTCGTGTAGGACTTGTACCCGTGTTACTGTAAAGACCACATGTCAGCTCCAAAACTTCGTTTTTTTTTNTTTTTTTTTGAAGTAGTATACTGCAGCTTGTGGTATACATTGACATCCATAAATGGCCGACAGCAGGGTAATGCACTCTGTTGGTTAGAGTGCGAATGGTATTTATTTATTTATTCACAATGACGTCTTTGTGTCTTTTCTGTTTTTTCACCATTCTCAGACGAGGATCAATTGAAGCATCGTGGTTGAGAACTCTTCGATCAATCCCCTCCTTTGTTGGAAGGCAGCCTACCAAAGTACCCTCTTTCAAAGTTGTCTGAAGAGGCATGCCTGTGGCAGACCCCAGCTGAGTTTTACGCCTTCCATTTACAACAGAGTGCACGCGTAATCTGTCCGAGTGGCCTCCAATATTTAATTGCGATTTTCCTCGGAAGATTACAAAAAACCCCTTTTTTCTGCTCAGTATGCTTCCTCCCTTTTTATTCTCCATATCCACATTCATCAAAGAACGGCTAAAGATAGGAAATTTCGATTGCGATGTGCAACGAATGTCTTATCAGGCTTACTAAACTTCGGAAACAACTTTGACTATTGAAAACCTGATATAGATAGTGTATCGTTAGTTATGAGTTACCAGTTGGCCAACGCCACTACCGCGTGCATCATAAACCAAGTAGCTTTAGATAGATTGAGGAATTTCTTATCCGGGTTCCCCCCCCCCCCCCCCAAAAAGTACTGCCTACTGTGGTGCTTTCCCTCCACGAGCATGTCTCTTTCGTTTGATTTGTATACTCCTTCCTTTCCGATGCTCATCTTTTCGCGGTGTCTGGGCCGTTCGGAAACCGAGTCAAGAAAATTTGGCTCTTGCACTACCCCATTTCGCTGTATGCAGAGTTCTCCATGTTCGGAGCCTGCTGAGTTCACATGTGCATTTTCGTCTTGCCTTATCCACCCCACCCATCCCAATGTCCAGGTACTCAGGATATTTCCACTGAAGACGCGGAATTTCTTGCCAGACAGCAGGCGTGAGCACTCCATTTATAGAGTAGGAATCATTAACAATATGCACATTCTCACGTTTCTGAATCTTCTGTATCCAAAAAGTGCATGTGAATCCTCTAACGACGTATTGTGAAAGTACATTAAATCGGATTGAGTGGAGTCACCAGTTTCATAAGCTGAAAGCTGTAAGAAAATAAATGCGACAGACGTTGCTACAGAAGCACTAGAGTGACAAAAGCAAAGCAATAGAGCAGTTCATACGACCTCAATCTTTGACGACCTCTCAGAAGTGTTCACTCTCTGCCGTACAACTGTGGGCCTCTCGAACAGCATCTTTGCACTGGGAAAAACGATGGGAACAAGTTGAATTTTCTGTTCGTTGCTGTTTTTCGAGTCGCTATGACTTCTATTCGTCTTTCCCACTATGAAAAAGCTTTGGGTACCAAACTGCGCGTGACTCCCCGCTGGACGCTCCTCATAATTCTGTCTCAAGTCCAGTTAATGGTGCAAGGCTTCTCGTTTCGTTTCGCGGGATTTCTCCTTTGGTAGTAATTCAGAGGAAGTCGTCTTTCGATTTGGATGATTTACTCACATACCAAACGGTGGATTCGTGAGGTTGCTCTGGGAGAATTGGCTCGTCTGTAGGACGGAAAACAACCAAACGTTAATCACTACAACTTTGCGTTTCAATGAGGCTTCCAGTCGGAAGGAAAAGTCACCATTTCGTCCTCGTACCCACATTAACAGTATAAAATGAGCCCGAGGTAGAGCCGCGATTTCCTCGTCCTTCCTTATACTGCTCTCTGCCTGAGGTATGGAATCGCTAAGTATTAAGTGAACGCACCTCCATCTCCATTATAGGGTCCAGATTTTGTTTTGTCTGGTTTCTTGTTTATTCGAAGTTTATGCTCTTTGTGCCAACACATTTTTGGCTTTTTACTTTATTTTTCTTCCAGTCAGCAGTTTTTCAATCCTCGCTTTTTTCATATTGGATTTCTCACGTTTTATTTTTCGTGGTAGTGTCTAAGAAATGGAATAAGTCTGGTATCAGAATATCTGGGAATATCTTAACTTTTTTATCTTTGCCTTTATTTGTTCATTAATTTTTCGAGCGAGAGAGGTTAGTCCTTCTACAGTGAGCTGCATACTAGTCGATTGACAAGGCTAGCATTTTCTGATTTGATGCAGTTGGGTCCTTTGTTACCCTTGCCCATACTGTTTCAGGAGCTCTGGATTTGCTGCAGTTACACTCCTCGCCTTCGAAACTTTGTTTTTAAGTTACGTCTCTTGAATGATTCTCTCTACAATTACGTTCGTTTCTCACTTGAAGTTCCTCGTGATCGCTCTACAGCTCTCTCACTGATTCAGTAAACAGTACTTCTTTTCTGGCTTCTTTTTTCGTATTGATTTCACTTGTTGAGAAAATCCATTTCGGTAGGCATCATATATTTGGGAGCAGCTTCTTGAAAGTTGTCAAATACGTACAAAGGGTTACAATACTTCTTCATCATCTTCTCCCTAGCTTCATTAAAGCGCCTAGCAAGGTCTCTTCCCCTTTGAGCTTCGGACTCCATCGCTTCACTTATCCCTGTGGCCTTCTCAGTACTTGTCCATACTATCGCTGATAATCTGTCAGCCTCAGTCCTACAGAAGAGAAGGTCTGCTACTAGTAATGAGCGTGGAGTTCGGACGGGCGCAGTAGATAGACTTTAACTTGTTCAGGGGCTGTACCTCACTCCTTCCTACCAAGAAGGTCTGAGTTCATTTTGATCCTATTTATTTCAACTCACTATTCGCAGTAAGATCGAATGCAAGCAATTTCATAAATTCTACGATCCCTCTGAGCTCATATCAATATATTTCATGGATGCCTGAAAAGATACAGCTGGAACTGCTGGAACTATGCATAATGCTAGCAAGTTCTCTGGTCCTTCAGCTGCTTGTTCCGGCATGGAGCCAAGCTGCTCCTTTGAATCGGTACAAGTTCCTTCAATCTTGTGTTGATGGAGCGCTTGTACAGTTTCATCTTGTGAACAGTCAACCTGATCCCACGTACATAGTTGGGTCGGAACACTCCATCACGCCCCCCTTCCGCTTGAAGATAGTGCCTGTTCACACCTTAATTTATTATACCGAACTTCAGCTCTTCACGTATTTTTTGCTCCTTCAGACCTCTTGGGTTCTTTTTTCATCATACTGTTCGGGTGAGTCACCTAACCCAATGCTCTCTGAACGCCTTTCATGCCTCGATTTATAGCCCAGACGGGCGAGTCGCCTCATCAATCTTAATCTTGCCTATTGCTTGCTACGTTTTCGTATTCGTTGCCTTCATTACGGCAGCTTGGTGAGCCACCTACAACTTCTAAGGGCAACTAGGTCTTCTAAAGCCAGTCCATTGATTTTCTCCTGCCTTTCAACTCGTTGGACTTCATCTTTCCAGAACCATGCCACTTGTGCTACTTGTCCCCTCAGAATCTATCCCGATTCTCCCCATTTCCCTAGTAGGATGACTTTAACAACCTTGCTTCAGACCTGCTGGAATCATTTGGAATCTGAAGACCAGCTTCCGGTAATCTTCGTTCGAGGCCCTTTTTTAGGCTTGGTGCAGCTTCTACCACGTGATCCTCCGTACTTGCCCTTGATTCCTTGGGAAGCTCAATGGGTATGTCTGCTAGGAGAGGCCTGTGTTGCGGAGCTAGTTTTTTGCCAATTGGTACTACATATTATGTTCTCTACATTATCGATTTTCACTGTCTTCATTGTGAGTAAAAAGATTCGTTGACTGTGAAAGTATTGTTTTTTTCCTTGCGTCTATTCACGCTCTCCCTTAGAGTCGTCTTCCTTTGTGAATCGAACTTTTTAACATCTCATTACTTTGAATGATCTGGAGTTATATTGAAATACTGCTACGTACTTCAATGATGACAATATTTCTGGCACGTTTACAATACGAAAGCGCGAACTGAATTCTTATAATTCCTCCGGATACGTCTAATTCCCAGACATTAGTTTCCCGTTTATGATTACTTCTATACTGAGATTTCGATGTTCTAGCTTCAGTCTAACATAATTTTGCAAGAAGTTTCCGCGCAGTAAGGTGTCTAGCGTATTTCATCCAATTGGAGGCTGTAGAAAACTTTCGTTTCTAGGCACGTGTTATTTCGAACGAAAGAAATTTTGAAGAAAACCCTTCTGTGACCAAGTTTTTTACCGATGGTTTTCTATTCCATTTTTTTCTGCTCGAAATGACATGGCTTCTCATTCTACCGTTTCTAGTGTCACCGAACATTACGCTGGTAGGGTTTGACTAGGGTGATGGAAGAATTAGGGAAACAAATTGACAGTCTGAGGCTAAGTATGCCCTGCGCTCGTCGTCCGCCATCATATCCCTCATCAACGCAACACGTTTCCCAAGTTACTTTGTCTCCAAGTGTCAGCATTCCAGAAATTCCGCTCAAATCAAAAAGAACGCTGGGTTCTCCAGTTGCATTTTGTTTTCTGAAAGAGATTGCACTTTTTCCTAAAATGCATGTGAGAAGTTGGGTGGAAACCTATTTGTGAAGGTCATTGCCACATTCCTAGCTTGCTGTTAAAATGGAATTTTGGCCAAACGGCGATACTTGAGAGTTTTTCTCTTTTCACGATTGATCATGATATATGTGTAGCAGTAGAGAACAATACCGCCTTTTCAGGCGATCTTCAGAGAAACGAAGAGACCGTCGCGAGAGATGCAATTGACCATCAGTCAGCAGCTTGGATTGGATCCCACGACGGTAGCCAACTTCTTCATGAATGCCAGACGGAGAGGCCATGATCAGAAAGCTGACGACGACATGAGCACCATCAGTGGTGGCAGTAATCACTGCTTCGACGAGCAGGTAGTGAATGACTTTTTACGAGGGATTTCTTACCTAATTGGATTTCTTGATTCACGCGATTTGCAGGTGCTGTCTCCTCTGCCGCCAACGCCAGTCTTCGAGCAGCTCTGATAGGTCACGATGTCGTCAAATATTGTAGTTGTGATGGATATCCTGGACGTATTTCTCTTAATTCCCTTGCCTTATCGTCTTCGATTTGTGACCGCGTGTGTTCGCGAAGTGCACGTTCTCGCAGCAGTCTGGTCTCGTGCTGAGAAAGGGTTGCCAGTGTGCATTTTTTCTGTAACATTGATCATTGAATAAGCCGGAATTCCTGTGCCATAAGAAGTGATACTGAGAGCAACAGCTCAAATATCGCGACCTAAATAATTTGTCTTATTTATTTACTTCTTTTCGTCATTTTTGCTACTCATTATATTTAGTGCTTTGAAATTTTCATTAATCGATTTGGATCTCTAGACTTTGTAATATGTTTGACGCGAATCTCCCCCACTTCCTTTCCTCGCTCACACCCTTTTACCGTGAGTCCGTGCTTTGGCAGAGCTCTCAATCTGCCCTCAGTTGTCTCACTTACCTGTGTTATTGTTGCAGTTCGGCTAGGCTTTTTGTTCTCGAAGCGCCAACGCTCAGGTGTGGCTCCTCGCCAGACCGGTCAGGAATTAGCTCGTCACCAGAGAGATTTATTCACTGTCACGCTTCCTAGTCTTACCCATCTCATCAGCATCATTCTAGTCTTCATTCCATCCCACTGTTTCCGATCTCTTCTCTGAGTCTCTACTCAAGTCACATTAAAGCCTCATTTTCACTTTTTTTTTAGCGTACTTCCATAGCTTTATATTTTTATTGCTAGTCATTTGTTATCTTTCGATTAACGTAAATATATGTATGTAGATCTAACTTATTCATGAATTTGTGATCAATTTTATTGCACTGGTATTTGTTCAACGCAAAGTCTTCTTCAACGGGAATATGATTTATGGCGAAGACGCCACTGAATTGTCGTGGCTGGCAAGAGTATTCAAGCTGAAATGATTCACAGATGAGAGTGAATGATTCTTTTTGCCGTGCGTCAGTATCCCCTACTCATAGGCATGAAAAAAATTTGTGTTAGGTTTATTTAATGAATGGTAAGGAGCAGATCTCCCTTGCTGTCGGTGGCAAAACTAGCTCACCCAGACATTAGGTATTAAGCAGACCTTGGTGGGGTGCTAACGGGACAAAGGCACAGATCGCGATAAAACGGTTCCTGAGATATCTCTCTAGGATGAATCTCTGATCCCAAGGACAGCGCAAGGGACGCCGTCGGGCTCAGATAGGGCGTAGTAGAGCCCTTAAACCAGCTTAGCCAACATACACCCAGAAGCTGACGAGTTCTTACCGCGTTGCAGAGGCTGTGCGGTTGCATCATTAGCATCGGCACACTCTGCAGCTTAATACAACCAGCGGTACGCAATAGCACGCACACACATTCGGACAACTAGTCCAAATATTCCTTCCATGCAACTTTTTCATATTCTTGTCCCGCTCCTCATTTCAGAACTTTTTTGAAGCCTCAAAGTTATTTCTACTACACTGATGTGCAAAGGTTTGGGACGAAGGTAACTTTCGATTTCTGTACCTCTGTCAGATAGCGAGACTCGATTTTATACCATATGAAGAGAGGACCATTGTATTGATCCTTCCTCTTGTGAGGTTATCCAGATGATGTCTGCGAGACATGATGTATACAAGCAAACCACCACAGTTCTTTGTAGCGACTCGATGATTGACAAAATCTTCTTTTCTCGTACCTATCAACTGCCTCGATTTGCGTGGGCATCCATATTTCGCGCTTTACTTGAACTATTCCTCCTCGGTGCGAAAGTCCAGCTTCCTGTGCATACCCGTTGTAGGTCAGGCGATGTACTCCCACACTTTCATTTGTTTCCAGCCAGTCTTTAAAGTTTTATGTTACATTATCGATCCCATCCCTAACTTTTGCACACCGTGTATTTTAGAATAACTGATTCGCTTCGCCAAACTCAGTGGCGTCGCCTAGAATTAGAAACATCGGCTCTATTGGCTCATCAATGAGTCAAACCCAACGATTCTTGTTGTTTGCGTTAAAATAGGACCACAACTGTAGACAAAAGCAAGTAAATAGTGTAAATAACTACAAGTAAAATTACAATTACAAGTAAAAAGCAATAAAAAATTGCTAAGAACGCAGCAACCATAGACATTGTGGCCTGCAACTACTAGTACTCAATCCCATCAGAACAATTCCTCTTCGAATCTTGAGTCGATGGTAATTCAAGAGATCTACGCGAGCGCAGCGACCGGGTTTGCTTGAGATGACATCTCGACAGTACCTAACACCGGGTATGGGTACATTGGTGCATCCAGAAATTTTTGTGGTAAACTGCTCGGTGAAATTTTTGGCAATTTGGACGACTTTAGCGTTTATCATCAAGACGTAAAGCATGTTCACAAAACATCGACTACGCCCAGAGTTGGAGCTGTTCATAAGCACATTGATTTGATCGGTGTGAGGAAATCATGCAAAATCATCATGGGTATTTATTCACCGCGCAATTTTTCGTGCGCGTCTCCGGACGCCTCGATGCTTCGTTCCTTCCACCCTTCGGATGCCCTGTGCTTTTTTGAAACCTATCAGTGGAAGTTTGCAATTGGGAATAAACGGCAAATGAAAATGGGTCCGGGTATGTGTCATGCGTCGTGCGTCCGAGGATGCGCGCTGCAAATTGAGCGGCGAAGTTCGTACCGATTTAAGCGCCTATCACTGGGCCCGAATTTGAAGTAGAGTAGATTAGATAGATAATCTGACCCTGCTAAACTATTCTACTCTTTGAGTTTGTGCCCTGAAAATTGGCGTCAGAGTTGTTCAAATCGTCACAAACCTGGCCGCGCAATTTGCTGCGCGCGTCCCCGGACGCACGATTTGGCCGTCCCCCAACGAATACTAGCGGTGTCGGCAATTTGCTCAACTTATAAATGCAATGGCAAGTGTCTATAAATCTGCCGTCGAAATAACGACCTACACTATCGAGCTATGTTCGGTCTTGAGACGAATGACTCAGTCTTGTGTGGTTGTAGAGAGGCAGCATGTACAAGGGTCGGAACTTGTGTGCAGTTCTTTACTTCACGCCTTTTTTGGCTTATTTAATCAATGGTGGGTTTTCATACTCATCTCTTTCCATGCAATTTCTCTCCTGAGGATGTTTTATGTGAAAATAAAAAAGAAGCGTGGAGAGGCGATGGACATTAGCAATAACTGCAGTGAGGCAATTACTGAAAGAATGTCAGAAAATGTGATGGTAGCTTTTATTGGAAGGAAAGCTCTTGTACAGAAATTTCGGTGACGACGCCATTGAGCAAGCATTCTTGGGCGAAACGAAAAAAAAGAAACGAAAAACTCGTTCAGCAGTCCTGACTTCTATATTTGTAAACAGCATTACGATCTCTATCGTTACACCTAAGTCTCCTCTCGGAATCTCCCCTCTATGTGGAATGAAACGCCCGCCTAGTGAGGTTGCAAGTTAGAAATTTCTACAATCTCAGTATCAATATCTGTGTTTTTCAATAATTCATTGCTGTCCCATATACCTGGCTTATTCAACAGAGTTCTAATTTTCAAATTTCGTGTGTTACCTGCGTGCCATTCTCAGGACTGTACATACTATCTGTTACTATCGTGTTGAAACGCGTGCATGCGATTACGATTGGGCGTAGTATAAGAGTCTTTGTAGGTACAAGGGGGACAGTAGGAGAACGTCCGTTGCGGGTGTCCGCCGAAAGTAGGTCATCCCGCCCACTTCGCGCGCGGCGCATCACACTGAGGTCACGAGATGACATTACAGTACCACCAAGTGTCATTGGAGCAAATGATTTGCATTTGTCTGTGTTGTCGTCTTCCTGAACTGATTGCCGTGGACCAAACGCAAAGCGTATGCCCCAGTGGCAATTGCGACGTCTGTCAAATATCGCGGCTGACTCGCCGCGTACGACGGCTGCGGCGTGCCCTAGTTCCGACGGACACGCGCAACGAAGCGCACCCCTACAAGGTAAAACTACTTTCAGGATCCTTGGTCTCTTAGGATCCTTTCTTCCCATCCTATAAACTGAGGAGGGCAAGCACTCAACATTCAAAAAAGACAAAATCGAATTCGTGCAAGCAATGTCATGAATAACAGGATCATATGAATTCTCCGAGTTGCTTTCAGAAACACCAGAAACAATAATCGAACGCTTGAGTTCAATATCATCAGAGACACTAGTACTAGTGATGAGAGTTTCAGAATTCTTATTGAGCGCCTGAGTGGACGAGTTAGAAATAAGATGACCAGAGCGAAAACCTTTAGAAGAGAGTAAATCTTCAACTTGAGATTTCAAGGCAAAATTCTCTTCCCTTAACTTTCGATTTTCCTCGAGAATTGCATCACTTCTTTTTATAACATCCAGTAGCTCACGCTTCGTATGTGTCTTGAATGTTCATTCAATCATTTGGAACTCAAACGTTCTTCTATTATGGCAAACGGCTCAACTAACTCGATCCTTCTTCCATTATGACGCTTCTTTTCGATTAATATTTCTCAGTTGTAATTATCGATCGTTTTTTTGTATCCACGCCAATACTTATGATTCCGTCATGTCGCCTTTCCTATCCTTGAAGACCTGAATAGATCATAAACAGGACACCCGTAATTCCATTACCGATTACAATTAGCGCTATTCCACACGTTGTAAAAAAGCTGTATCTATTCATGCACAGCGGATGGAGTTCCCGACCTCGATAGCTTCGTCAAATTTTAAAGGCCAAGGTTATGAAGCATAGGTCTAGCGATACTGCGATCATCGGGACCAGGACGATGCCGAGTGAACCCCTGTGATGTCCGTCAAACTGAAACAGGACGGATTGAACGAGTTGGCTTTACTTGTTCATAAAAAGAGGAATAGAACATTAAGCTTCAAGCAGCCTGCTGGACTACAACGGTTCAAAACGAGTATTTGATATCACTGGCGCTTTCACGATGAACTCGATGAAGCTCAGAAGTACGAAACATTGCTTATCACCATCTGAAATTTGATTTTTCTTTCCACTTCGTATAACA